CGCGCCGCCCGCCGCCGCCGCCGCCACCGCCACCGGGCTGTCCTCTCAGTGGGGCCCCAGGGCCTCGGCCCCCTCCCCGCAAGGAAAGCACCCCATCCCTTGGCAGAGCTCAGCTTACTGACCAGAACCTCGTGGAGGGCTGAGCTGGGTGCTACCAGGGCCGGGGAACCGGGGGCAGAAGTTGAGGAGCGGTCATGAGAGACTCCTGCCAACAGTAAGAAGTAGCCAAGGAGGAAACATCAGTAGCAGCTCTCCCAGGCCCGAGAAGGGATCCAGCCCCGTGGGAAATGTGTTGCTATTCTTATGATGCTGCCAGACAGAATCTGCAGACCCCCTCCTTGCCCTCTAGCGCCGCCTCACCCCCTCCTCCTGCTCTGCCTCCCACCCGCCTCTTACCCAGCCAAAGCTTTGGCTTCTCAGAGGGGAATGCAGCAGGTGCGGGCCGCAGTGTGGCAGAAACTCGCTGCTGTGTTCGCCCCCACCGGGACGAGCCGCAGGAACCCGCAGAACTGCAGCGCTGGCTCTCTGGACTCCCTCTCGCAGAGCCGGGGCAGGGAAGGCTGGGGGACGTGCAGCTGCCCCAGGGAAGCGCCAGCTCCTCACAAAATGGGCCCCTGACAGACCTCACAAAACCAGCTGGCCCACAGGGCTCTGGAATTGGAAATGCAACTCACGGCGCACCGGGGTGGGTGATGGAAGATGCCCTTTGCTTTTGGAAGAATGTGTGGGAAGCCCAGTCTGCCCTCTGCTCAGATGGTGGATCTGAGAGGGCCCAGGGTGCTCTTGGGAGCCCCGTGACAGCCCCAAGCCCTTGCCAGTTCTGGTGTCCTGTCTGAATTGCTGTTCCAAACAGCGGTTCCTTGAGCCCAAACTGCAGCAGACACGGAGCCCTGTGTGCAGAGGACCTCTAGTCCCAGGGAGGCTGCTGCTGGGCCCTCCTTGATCAGATAACCCTCCTCTTTAGGCCTGTAGTTCCTGATGGAAGCTCTGAGAACCCACAGGGTCTGGGTCTGTGGAATTCAAGTGTTTCATCAAGGTAGTATTCAAGGCATTGTTTAAGACTGGGGGCCTAACCAGAGCTGCAGGCGGACAGTGACCTCAGTGAGCTCTGGGAATGACAGATGACTACCAGGCAGGACTGGTTTGGTTTAGGGCCTCATAGAAGCTGGACTGGCAGTGTCCCAACCTGAGTGTGACCTGGGTATTTTGGAACCAGCCAGGCTGGGACTTAAATCCCTGCCAGGTCCTAGGCAAGTTCATTCATGTCTCTGGACCTCAGTTTCCTCATCTGCAAAATGAGGATACTTCATAGGCTGTTGTGAGGGTTAAATTGTTTATGCAAAGAGTTTAGCCCCCAGCAGACACTCCACAAATGTTGGTTTCTCCACTCTGCTTCCCTAGGAAACTCCCCTCCCAGCTCCCAGCTTCCTGCTTAGCTTTGGGCTCTTTCTCTAGGCGCCCAGTCACCAGGTTCTCTCTGCTTCTCAGTCTGCCCACCCCTCGCTCTCCTTGAGGTCTCAGCCATTCCCACCTCCTTCACCAAACTATCCTCCAGAACTCTGCTTCACACTCCTTCTAGAAGCTTCCCCCGACCAGCCCCCAGGGCTCTCGTCCTCCTTCTTGCCACATAGGGTCTTTCTGTCAATTAAAACACAACAGTCTTAGCCATTTCATCATGTCTATATATTTTCTTGGCCCTCCTCTGTTGAAATGAAAGCCGTGGACAGAGAAAAGTTCTCAAGGGAGAATTAATAATTGTGCTCGTTGGTGACGTATGCTTAACGTGTGTCAGATACTGTGCCAAGCACCTCTAGCCCAGTGGGACGTGTAGTCCTCACAGCTCGAGGAGGTGATTTCTACATCAGCACCATCGCAGAGAAAAGGAAGCTGAGGCAGAGAGATGAAGCAACCTGCCCAAGGCCACCGAGTGGTGGCTCTGGGACTTGAATGACGTCTTGACACACCTGTAACCCTCACAGTCCCTGCTCAGGTAGAATGGGCAGCCCTTACATTTCCTTTCCTTCTCTGGGATTTTCCTCTGACCCTCCTTCCATCTGGTTGGCCTCAGGCCTATGTCATCCTACCTCTCCCCTTTAAAGCCTGATCTAAGGGTGAATGACAGCCAAAAAGAAATTAACCAGAGAAGGAAAGAAATTAACCAAAGAAGGAAATTAAAAA